TACCTCCTGGAAGAGCTCGAGACTGTAGGTGTTGTCGTCGTCGGCGAAGAAGAGCACGCCGGGCTGCGCGCGCTGGTGCCCGTGCCTCTGCCGCAGCCAGGCCAAGCCGGCGTTGCGCTGCTCGGTGGCGCGCGGCAGCCCGGGCCGCTTGTAGCGCCGCGGCGTGGGCACGTGCAGGTGCGTGCTGGGCAGCCCAGCGCGCGCCAGGAAGCGGCTCACCAGCTCGCTGCGCGCAGACGCGTCCTCCACCAGGATCCAGTGCAGCTGCGCCACCTGGCGGAACGTGTTAGCCAGGCGTGTCAGCTCGGCCTTCTGCACCGGGCGGCTGTAGGTGGGCGTGATGGCATATATGGTGGGCAGCGGCGGCTCGGGCGGCAGCGGCGGCGGCGGCCGCGACTCGTTGCGCTGCTCCCGGCCGCGTCCCAGGCCGCCACGGCGGAGCGGGAGGCGGGCGCCCCAGCGGCCCCCGGCGTAGGGCGAGAAGTAGGGGCGCGGGGTGAGCGGGGGCGCGGGCCTACGCGTGTCCACGTCGAGCATGATGATGACGATCAGCATCCAGGGCAGGAGGATGAAGAAGCGGCTGAAGAGCACTGACTTCATGGTGCGCTCTCCCCCGGCCTCTCGGACGCCCCGGACCGGGGCGAACCGGGGGACCCCAGCGCGCAGTTTGGACGGCGGTGGCGCCCGCGCTCAGGAAGCCGCGGCCCGCGCGCTCTCCACGGGGTGGGTAGCGGGGCGCTGCGGGGGCGTGGAGCCGGGCCTGGGGGATACGCGCAGGTGCCGAGGAGCTCGGGCTTCAGGGCGGGCTGCGATGCCCCTACTCCGGGGAGTCGGCGGGAAGCGGGACGCGGTCCAACCGCGCGCTGCCGACCCCGGAGTTACGCCGAGCGCCGGGAAGGCGGCGATCCCACCGCGCTCTTTCTGAAGAGTGGAACCTGGGAGCCGTCCCGCGGCGCTGCGGGAAAAGGGACTCCAGCCGCGGTCCCCCGATGCGCTGCCGGGGGCACCTTCGAGGGCGGGGGCCAGGCGCCGAGGCTCTCCTTCGTCACGTACCAGCCCCGGCGGCGAGGACCGAGGGCGACGCCGGGGATGCCGTGCGCCCAGCTCTGGTCGCGCGCCGCAGCGGAAGCCTGCACTCCGATCCCTCGCTCCGCTCTGCTCTTCGGAGAACCGCTCCTGGCTCCGGCAGCAAGATCCCAAAGCCAGGAAAGAAAGAAAAAGCGAGGGGCGGGGGCGCTGCGGACTCCAGCGTCCTCCCAGTGCTCCTGTGGGGAGACAGCAGCGCTGCTACTGGCGGAGAGGGGCTGCGAGGGGGAGGCGGGGAGGGGGGCCCGGCCAGCCGGCTCCGGAGGCTGCTGCTGCACCGCCGGCGGGGGGCGAGAGGAGGGGTCCCCCCCCCCCCCCGGGC